TACTATCTGATGGTACTTCTCCACTGAGCCTTGGTAATTGGTCTCCAGGGTTGACTTTGGCTAGTTTATTCATGATGTTATGCTTCATATAAGCTGCTGTGCTCTGTAATGGAGTGGGTGGCAGTGACATTTCAACTTCAGGTATTGGCTGCATATCCATTTGTTCTTCTGGGTCTTCTTGAGTCCAGGATGTAATATGGAATTGGTCTATCTTAAGTTGTGAGAGCAGCTTCCTCTTCACTATGTTGAAGCATTTGGTAATTAGCTGTTTCTCAGTTAGTGTGAATGTAGGTCTTCTGTCCATCCATAGTTCCCTCATACATTTCTTATATCCCCTCTCATTAGGTCTGCTGTTGTAGTAGCATTCCATCAATTCCAGGTTCTCTTGTCTCATCCATGTATGGTTTTGTTCCAGTAGCCCACTTATCTTCTGATTGTCCTGGTTTCCCAACATCTGATGCAGACCTTGTTAATCCGGACGTCTGCGCTGGCATGACTCTCTTAGTTCATGCCACTCTCATATTTGAGGTAGGCAGGTGAAGCATCAGGGGGTCTTTGCCCAAGGACCCCTACTGGTAAGGTAGGTACCAGGTGGGATTCAAATCCCGGTCTCCCACATCAAAGAGCGGCACTCTAACCACTATGCTATCCAGATGCTTATATTCTCCACTTAAATTGTTTTAATAACAGAAGTATGTAATGAAGTATATATAAATAAATATCAGTAGGAATAAAGAGATAATTGTTACAGTGCAGGGAGGAAAGAAGTGGGATCCTCAAGGACATCTGTTAGAACCATTCGTTTTTAACACCTTAATAAAAAATCTGGAATTATGAGTGAACCATGAGTTGTCCAATCTGATGGATGGCACCAAAATATTCAAAATACTAAAGGTGAAAAAAAATGCAAAGTATTCTAGAGAGATATTTAAAGTAAAAGAACTGACAAGAAAATGGCAAATACAATGGCACATTTGTGTTAAAGATCTGATTTTGACATGCAATATTCTCATATAGCAATACTTGGAAAACAGTGTATCGTTCTGATCATTATATTTCAAAGAAAGAACTATAAAAGTCAGATATTGAGATTCAGATATTAAGGGATGGAACATTTTTCTTTCAAAGAAAGTTACAAATGCTAAGAACTATACAGGTAGTCCTCTATAATGACCACTTGTTTGGTGACCGTTATAAGGTACAGTGGTGCTGAACGAGTGGTACTTACGACTGGCCTCAAAGTTCTGGCCGTCCCAGCACCCCCGTGGTCACGTGATCACAATCTGAGTGCTTCGCAACCACCTCACACTTTACAATGGTTGCAACGTCCCGCAGTCACATGATCACATTTGTAACTTTCCCTGCCAGCTTCCCAAAGCAAAGTCAATGAGAAAGCTGGCAGGGAAGGTTGCAAGTTGCTCTGGTCAGTCTCTCCTACCCTGCAACAGCCACCCCGAGCCCCACAGCACTCACACTGTGTTATAGCAACCCCTCACACAACCTCCCACACTCTGCAGCAGCCACTTACCTGCCCGCTAGCCTGCTTGCAACCCACTTGGGACTTGCAACTTCCTGCCGGCTTTCCCACTGATTTTGCTTGTTGGAAGCTGGCAGGAAGTTGCAAGAAGGTCCTCACTTAACGATGGCAATGGGGAGTGCCGGGATTGTTGTTGCTAAGTGATGTGGTCATGTGACATCACACTTTATGACCACATCACTTAGCAACAGAAATCCTGGTCCCTATTACCATCGTTAACCAAGGACTACCTGTATTTGGTTTAGAAGAAAGGAATACCAGAGATATAAAGTTTCATTTTTTAATTTATATTAGCACTCTTCTACCAGAAGGCATCAGGGAGAAATGCCAATCTCTTACATTCTAAAAAGAATAGAGAATGAAAAGGAAAATACAAGTTCAGGCACAAACTCTTAAATTTAAATATTGTTTTTAAATAACCAGCTGGATACAATTTAGGAAGTGACACAGCCAAATGGAACTGGTCTTTCAGGTTGACTGATAAGATGATGCTTCTTCCCTTCTCATCTCCCTCTGTTTTGCTTAAGTTGGGATGAATAAATACATTCATATTCCTCCCATCAACAGATTGGAATTTTTTCACCTTCCTGACTTTATCCCTTACCCCAGAACAATTTAATAGGCAGGTGGTTACTATAGCAGATTGCTTTTCTTGAAATGTATGAATTAGTTTATAATAAAAAAAAGTAACATGAACTTATTATACATCTGCTTTGGAACTTATCAGTGAAAACAATCTGAAACCCATTTTCAGTCATGGTTTAGTACCTCATTTTCCCCTCTCTTTTATGTTATTTTGCCTTTTAAGCTCATTGTAGAGTTAATTGCCTCCAGCCTCAGGCACTTGCCTCTGCTAGAAAAGCTCTAATTTCATTTTGTAAATTTGGAGAATGAATGCCTGAAATTGATCTGAGCAAACAGATGGTCTATAACAGACTACAGATGTCTTTCCCTTGCTTCTATATAGAAAGTTCCATGGATTTAAATGCTCTGCAGCATATTCAAAAGGGTTGCTATATCAGTGCTAAATATTTTTGAAAAATGATCAGCCCCCTAATCTTCACTATTCTGATATAATCTGTGCTACATTTTGGGCCCAGGAGGTCCAAGTTGCTATGTGATTCAGGAATTAAGTTTTTATACTGTTTGAAATGGGAGAAGAAAAACCTGGTAGTAAAGGACAATGAAGGAGAAAGATAAAAGTATCTGAATATTTCCAGGTAGAAAAATAACATAAAATATTAGCATATTGGGGATTAACTAATTTATGATTGTATTAGTTTTCATGAATTACATGCTTATAGGAGGAACATTATATATGATACAGCTGTTGAGAGGGAAATGATAAAAGAAAAGGTACATCAGATTAGCTTGCTTGATATCCACGGATAAATTCAGTCTGCAAACTATTAAAGAACAAACAAGGGCCAAAAAAGAAACAAACAGCCCTGAGCAAATCCTCCATTATCATGTTAGAAAGGTTATGAGGTTTGTCTCCAAGCTGGGAATAAACATGCAGGTGGTTGCTTGAAGGAGAGAGAAGACTTTATTTTCCAGAGCCTGTTACAGAAAAGGATCTGCTGTTGGGATGGCAGGGTTTCCCCAGGAGTTCCTTTTATAGGGAAGATACTATTGTTCCTTCAAAGGTGGGAAGGAAGGCCCTCTTGGAATTCTTAGAAAAGGTAATTAGCCTGTGAAATTGACTAGATCTTTAGAAGGGAGATTCTAAGGTCAGGCACCCTACTGAGCTGGGGTTTCCTGTGTTTGCCTTATCTGGTATTGTCTCATTGGAATGTAGTTTGGTAGGGGAACTTTACAATTGCTAATTGATAAAGTACTTGTAACCTGTATTTGCATAACCAACCTTTCTCCCATTCCCCCCCACCAGCATCTGATGAAGTCAGCTGCAGCTCACCAAAGCTTATGCCCTATAATAAAATTTGTTAGTCAGAGAAGGTGCTACCAGACTCCTCCTGATTGTTTACAAGAGAAGAAAACCAATCTCAGCAAACACCAAGATCCCAACATTTCAACCTTGTGGTACACATATTCTTCACTATTGCTTTGTATATGTGCACCGTCAGCCTTAAATCCCAGCCTTGAATTCATTTCATATTTCTATTACCTGGTAACAGTTTCTCTAGTTTTATCAAATACAGCATAAGGAAACAACCATCAGTAATATTCTTATATTAAGTAATTAGAAAGAAAACATTTTATAAAGGATGTTTTTCTTTTCTTTTTTTTTTTTAGGATGACAGCCCTCGAGTGTATCCTACCTCTCCTGGTCCAGTGCCTATAATCTTAGCAATGGACCACATTATTGTTCATTGTAAAGATGACGGAATGTTCTTTATAACAGGTTAGTACCAGTGACACTGACTTGAAGAGGCTGCAGTTCAAATATCTTTATCTCCTAGAAATATCTAACCCAGCTTTCCCAAATCTGACACCCTGCATATGTGTTGGGAATTCTGGGAGTTGCAGTCATTTAGATTGCAGTACATGTAAAGAGTGCCAGTTTGGTGAAAGCTATTATAACCTATCTCAGCTTCCCTTTGTTGTAATTGCTCCACTGAAGTATATTAGACAGGTGCTAATGTAGGGAGACTGTAATGCTCCCTACAATATTAGATATTGCTATTCAGCAATCATGTTACATTATATTCACTTGCTCAGTCTAAAAAACAGTTGAGAAGGTAGTCTAAAAGAATCAGTATTGTGTAATTGCAGATATATTATTTATACTTTACCTTCCAGCTGCACAGAGAGAAGAATCTTCTGTCCAGAAAACAATCCAAGAAGATCTTAAGAAACAACAAATTCCAGTAGAGAGAATATCTATAGTTTCAGCAGGAAGTGATGATGAACCAGAGGTATGCCATATATGTCAATGTACCAAATTACTTGTAATCACAAAAGGAAAAATGGTGGAGAAAAATAATCTCACTGTATGCTTGTCTATTTTTTCTGGGGGTATTTGCTTCTGTGCCATAAATACTGTTGTTCTTTGTCCTGTAAACCTTCGCTTCAGTTTCCTCCTTTTATTTTTGGAAAAGCAAGGGCAAATATGTCTCTTTACTAAGACCTTCTAAAAAGATTGCTATCAGAAACAGGATGTTGAAACAAGACATTTAATAATTGGTTTTCACCAAAGGCTATGGTATTGGAATAGATATTAATTCAGATATTGCTATAAAGTGTTTATGGTTGTATTAAGGAATAATGATAGAAAAAACAAAGATAAAGTGATAAGCTATTATACTGGTATAATGATCTTCAGCAACACAGCTTCTTCATATTAATGTTTAAATAATAAATAAATCCTAGTACCATAAATAGATCATGTTGTGGAAAATATATTTCTAATTTAATTAGCATATTTCTAACTTCATTAAAATAAATCTCAACTCTAATTATAGTGATCGACTATAATAGTAATCTAAAAAAATTCCTCTCAGAAGTTAAATATTATGGTACCTTGTTGCTTCTTTTTCCTCTTTCAGAGAACTCGAGTTTATTTTCAGAAAAAATAAATAATTCAGGCAGGAAAAATTGCATTAATTGCATGTCTTGCACTGTGAGTCTTAGGCACTCAGTGGTATAAAAATTATTATCTTTATTGTAAGACAATAAGCATGAATTTTGCTTTATCTGGTTCAGTCAAGTATGCTAATTCATGCTGGTTTATTGCTTTTGCTTTCCTCTCCCTAAATCTACTGCTCTCTAGGTGAGAGAACATGTCATCTGAATTGCTTTCTAGTTTGATAATAACAGTTGGAACTCAGATAACATTCTCTTAACATTCTCTTATAAGAAGTGCTGAAATTAGTTACTGCAGTAAATTCTTGGCTTCCAGTAAATATTAGACTTCTCAATCTGCAAGTAGTTTTCCTGGAAAATTTATTCTAGTTATAATTTCATTTATTTATTATATATCTTGCTTTAGCTCAAAGACACAAACCACTGTACGTAGTATTGCATTGTCCAATTTTTATCTTCACAACAATCCTTTGAGTTATGTTAGGCTGAAAGACCATGAGTGGCCCAAAGAGATTAATGACTAAATAGAATTTGAATTCAAGTCCAACACTCTTACCACACCAAAGTCACACCAACATTTTACAACTTTGTTTTGTCTTTTCCAGTTGAAAGCAGCATCCACTTTGGAGAGAGAGCTACAGATCACTCAGAGAGCCCTTGCAGAAGCCAATCAAGACAAATTACGTCTACTACAGGAAATCAAGAAATATGATCCTCTCTTCCAGCTTTGACAACAAAGACCTGGGCAAGAGATGCTCAGAACAATCAGAAATTACTACCAGCATTGAAAAAATTTACTTGTTGAAAGCAAAGCAGTTAACTTGATCATCTTCATTCAAGAGCTACTACCTTGAAAATAGAAGCAGAATGCCATTACAGGAGATAGAAGTGGAGATGTAGCAAGAAAGTACATGGGAATAAGATGATCTGGAGACTGGATTTTGTAGCCCAGCTGTGTCTAGACAGCATGAAACTGTACTCTAGCTAAAGCATGGCACTACTATCAGTTGAATAGTGAGACAAGAAAAAGTTACTCTTGAGTTACATAAAGTGGTGCTGATAAACTCCTAATGTTTCTTGCCATAACCTGCTTCTGCAGGTAGGTGTTGGGGACATGCTTACCCTGCACTAAAGAAATTACATTCTGCTTAGCTCAGGCCTAGTTAGGGAATGAAAATAAATATCTTGGAACTCTGCTGTAGCAACATGAGTTTGAAACATAGAAGAATGAAGATGCAATTACAGGCCCAGCACAAGAAAAGAATGCTAGGAACAGAAAATGCAAAATCCATCATCTCGCTGTTCTTATGGAAAAGAGTTTGGGTAGCCACAATTTCTCATGAAACTTTATTCCCTAGTCTCGTTTCCTTATAATAATCTGTTAGTGGAGAATCGGGACACCAGCCTTCCTTGTGCTTATTGTCCACCTCCTCCATCAAAATGGATTTACAGCCATTTTGGAGTATAATTTGATGAGAAAGTGCCTGACTAAATGTTTTGTCCTTATTAGTGAAAATGTACAGTACTGTGCAAAAGTTTTAGGCAGGTGTAAAAAAATGCTGTAAAGTAAGAATGTTTTCAAAAATATATATTGTAATTCTTTATCAATTTACAAAATGCAAAGTGAGTGAACAGAAGAAAAATCCAAGTCAAATCAATATTTGGTGTGACTACCCTTTGGCTTCAAACCAGCATCACACTTGCATACTTTGTACACTTGCACAAAGTCAGGGATCTTGTAAGATTAGAGTCAGGTGTATGATTAAC